GCCTCCAGGAGGGCAATCTGGAATCTCCTCCAGAACTATAAACAGGGTTGCACTCTCCTACTGATCACCCACTACATAGGTGAAGCTGGTGTGCTGGGTGACCACATGGTCAAGGGGTCCCTAAAGTGCTGTGGTTCTTCAATGTTCCTGAATTATACGGTGTGGGATACCACATAGTCATCGTGAAGGCACCTCACTGTGATGTTGAAGAAATCTCAAAGCTGATTCATCATTGTGCACCAACTGCCACTTTGGAGAGCAGTGTTGGAACTGAGTTATCATTTATTCTATCCAAAGAGTATATGGACAGGAAAAGAAGACTATATCACACAGAAGAAAGAACAAAGTGGAACTGTCTAATTTGGATCTTATGTACTCTGTAAATAAAAGAGTTCTTTAGAGGCAGGAATATGGGCAGGAGAGTAGAACCGAGACACTAGCCCAGTGATGGCAAACCTTTTAGAGCTTTCAGTAACATACAGCCTGCTGTGGCACACATATTATAGGTTTGCCACCACTACACTGGAGTAAAAGAATGACTCATAATGGAGAATTTGAAATAAAATTGTAGATACATATCCCTAGAGATACATGGTAGTTGACTGGTTCAGCAAAGGTGGTAATGATGATTCAGCTGGAGCTACTGAATCTGTCTTAATGAGACACACTGATAAAGCACTTGCTAAAACTTAGCATACTACCTGCCTTTCTGGATTCAAATGGCATGATCAGAAGAGATAATAAATATCATATTAAGATATATCTAAAACAGGCTGTGGGGGGACAGTCGAGCAGGCAGCCCATGATCCAGCTACCATTACAGTCTGTGCCTGAGCCCTCCATGCACCCTGAGCTGCCTGTAGACACTAGTCCAGATAGCCCACAAACCACTAACACCTCAGCTGATGTCTGGGCCCCCCCTGCATGTACCCTGAGCTGCCTGGGTTCCACAAACTGCTGACACCATGGTTCACATCTGGGCTTTGTACATACCCTGAGCTGCCTGGGGACCCAAGATCAGGTGGTCCCTGATCACACCACCAGCACAGCCCACATCAGGGTCCTGAGCATGCCTTAAGCTGCCTGGGGACACTAGATCAGGCAGTCTGTAATCTGTTAGCATCATGGACCTCCTCTGAGACCTGGGAGAACTAGGTATACTCCACCAACTGCCTGGTGACCCCAGACTGAGCAGCCCATCTTTGGGGTCACTAAGGGGCAAGTCTGGCCACCAGGAAAAATAGGGACACTAGCAACCTTTGGTGAGCAGCCAGGGAAGAGTGAGACTGGGCACTCTGCCTCTGGTATCAAAAATGACAAGACAAAGGACCAAAATGCAAACTCAGAACTCCATTCCACTCAGAACAAGTCCAGGAGACATCAACATAGGAGAACTTGGTAATCACACACCTGAAATCACTGAAATGATTGCAACTGAGGTAAAGAAACAATTTCACTGGAAACATTAAATGAACCATATAAGAAAGAGCTAGAATGCATGAAACAGATTCAAAGAGATATCCAGGAAATCAAAACTTCCATTGAAAGCTGGAAAAACTGGCTGAATGAAGCCAAAGATAGAATTTAAGATCTTGAGGACAGCATGGCAGCTAACAATTGCAAAAGGAAGGATCTCTTAAAATTAACAAGAAACCAGAAAAAATCAATTCAACAGCTGCAAGACAAGG